TCGGAATATTAATGTTTATACAACCGGACGATAGTGATCCACGTGAATTGTCAATTTTAGTACGGTTTTCTCTTTATATTAATCGTGAATCTTATAGAAATCCACATTATAATATTTACTTAGTATCTTAATCATGACAAAGTAGATAACACTTTATTTTTCGTGGTGCTGTTTCGAATCTTTGATTATTAAACTTTGCAGTAGTCGACAACGTTTCATAAAGGGAAAAGTTGACAAATAAATTAAGGAAATTGCTAGTAAACAAAAATGATGTTACAAAACAATAACAAATTTTATCAAGTATAGATACGTGCACAACATTCTATAGTATTGTATAAAATGCTAATAACAACGACTATCATTTGTAATTAGTTGTACTGTAAATATATAATAAAGGCGGGAAATCTGACTTTTTACCGGTATTTTGTAGCTAGTAAGTTGAGCAGTAGTGGGGTTGGTGTTAGCTTTGACGTTTATAACTGAAACTCGGTTATTATTTATTCGATAGTTTTCTTTTTAGCCAAATCAGTCCAAGAAAGTATTCCATGGGTATCAGATAAGTTTACATTGGACGGACCAATTAATTAGTACTAAACAATACCCTTGATCGTGGCGTAACGTAGGGGTTAATACTGCTTAACTTCGGCCACTCCGGTTTTTTCTTCACGCTGCATATTGCATTTAGTATTTACTATCTACATGGACAGATATAATTAATTAAATTAGTCTGACAAATAGTTGCTGGCTCCAAAACTACAGATCCAATCTTTTAGATCATAACTTGGATTGGATATGTATGATAAATAAGTTGTCCCTCCATGCAACACTTGTGATCTCAAGATACTTTTGCTGAGCAAGTTTATAATTAATGATAATCTGTCGCCAGCAGAGTCAGAATACAATAAGATAACTATAGTACGTTGATTAGTTGGTAGATAAACTTTTGATTAATTAAAGAAAGCAAAAACGTATGGAATCTTTCTACCCCCTTTACCTATCTGTTACGCAAAGCACTGAGAGAGTTGGCAGTACGGGAAACAAGGAAGGCAAATGTTGGGATAAACATGACATTTAATTCTTTGAATCATTTTGCTTTAGTGATATAATTAACTTGTATTAGTTTATCGAAAAGAACAGTATTTGTATATTGTTAAAAGGACAAATAAATCGTGAGTCCCAACTCCAAAGCATATGAGAAAAGGAATCTATCCAGTACCATATGCGCATCTTTTTACATTTAACAAGAATTAATTTCTGTGTTCTTTTCTCCTATTTATATGTAAATATACATCTAAGAATAAGTTAACAAAAAAATACTCTACGAATATAAGAATTAAGTAATTAACAATGTATGATTTTATCGTTACTGTCAAACTATAGTTTCACCTTGGTCCTTGGGTTTAAACTTTGAATTCCTCACATTTATTACAACTTTTGTCTTAAATCCCTAGAGTAAACAAACCTACGCAAACTCCAGATCTTATCCATACCTATTAAGGTTTTAAAGGATACGTACATTACACATGCTATTGAAGTATAACGTAAACCAAGGACATCTACCCTAGCTCTTAAAGTTTTATATTAAACCCTAATATATCGGTTAATGGTGAAGAGTCATAAGACTCAGTATAAATGTACAATACAAACTGAAACTGGCGCATGTAGCTAGCTCTGTTTTCCTTTGTGTGTGTAGTGTTCTTTACTTATGTTTTTACATATTTAACTTCAGTTTCGGCGTGACAGTATAATATGCAGAAAGTATGTCGTTATCCATTGCAAAGAATGAATAACTTCATAGTTGCATCAACCAAAAATAAGAACGGACATAACAAATTTTAGTTTCCATTTTGAAGGTATTTTCATACCGGTTTTGGATTCCTTATCTGATTTTAAATAATAACTGTGCTAGGCTGCTAGCTATATGTAAAAGGAAACTTTTGAAATCAAACGATGGAAGAGCAAGAGAGCAATTTTCACCAACCATATTTTCTTTTCCAAATACACAAAAACAGAAGTTGTTATATGAATAAATACAAATATTTACATATGCTTGTGTAATTTTGAGTTATTTTACTGTCGACGAAAGATATAGTATAATAAGCAATTAGTAAATAAAAAGTCGTTTTTTTGTAGTGAACAAATAACCAATTCAATTATCTTGAGAAACAAATTAAAGAAAGTAAATTGCAAAGGGTGAGTTTTTTTCTTTGGTTCACATGCAAAGGGTAAGTCAAAGATGGAATATGAGGGAAGGAGAGAGGCCCGGAGAAGGAGGGAAGATGAGAGAACACGTGGCAGAAGGAGAGGCGTGGTCCAGAGAAAAAGGAATATGCGGGAGACGACACGTAAGCATGGCCATGTGAACTTTCCATCACTCTCATTCACTTGCGTGCAACTTGTCTTTGTCATTCACTTTCCTTCCGTGGTATATACATATATACATCTTTTATTTATTTGGTAAATAAGAAACCCTACCACTTATCAATTTTTACACATCGAGATTTAGGTATCCTGTTGATTATACCTCTTATTAGATCTCGAATGTACATGTACATAACACTGCTTCATCATATGAAACAAACTGCTCTTTCAGAAAATTAAAGTCTTATCTAGAAAGCACGTACAAGTCCAACTGTCCAAGTCAAGTATAAATCTACACTAATTAAGTGCGTTAAATTTGAGAAATGTGACATTATAACTTATGAGAGACAAAATGATGGCCTGACAATGTGCCCACTATTATATAATCATATATATATAAATGTTTGTACGCCTGAAAAACTTCACCCTAAGTGAGTTGAATGATGTGTCTTTCTCCAATTGTGAGAAAGCAAGGGAGGGGGGCATACACCCAAAAGCACCTTTGTCGGTTTCATGTTCTAATTGGTTGAATAAAATTAAACTTATTTTTTGATCAAAAAGAAGAAGAAAAAAAAAATTATTTTACCCAAAGATCTGATAAAACTGAATTCAAAATATTAACGATGGAATGGTTATATAAGGATGAAACTATATTTCAGAATATTAAAGATGACATGGTTATAGAGAAATCGAGACAGTATTTGTACATGATAAGTCACATGTTTAATCTCTTTCATTTAAGTCGTTTCTAGACAAAAATACAGCTACGTAAAACATTTCTACACATTGATCCCTAATTATTGTTAATCTTTTTCTTTTGTTTTAAAAACCTGCAACGTTAGTACAGTAGATAAGTTTAGTCTTATTCTCGTCCCCATTATGAAGACCACGCGAACCTCACGTACATAGCCGTCACTCAATGTCGGAATGCATTTTCCTTTTCTTACTACTTGAAATATTTATTTCTTCCTAATTATATATCTTCCTATGATTCCTACTCGTGTCCTAGTCCTTACTGCATTATACACCTAAAAGAAGCACTCTGTATATATCACACCTATTCTATTTTTTACCAAGTGTCCATTTTTCTATAGTAAAAGTGAGACTACTATAAAAAGCGAGACTACTATTTATTTTTCTTTTCAACAACATATACTATTTAATTCGATAATGTCAATTATATATTATATAAAGTTCTCCAACATATTTTTGTCACACTTTATACTGAGGTTGAAACCCTTAATACAATGCAGGCGCAAGGCATGATAAAAGCTCAATTTACAAAGCCTTCGGGTGAATTTGTATTAGACTAATGTGTTATTCCCTTAAGATGTATTTTGGTAGAGCATACTTTGAAATTAATCTACGAAACAGAATCATAGGTCTCACACACCTTCAGCGTCGATGATACGTAAGTTAATCGTCTTGCTTTCGTGAAACATGTTAATGAATTTCTATCTTCGAGGTAACATGATTATTTGATTAATTTCATTCTCATGTGTACATTTCACCTTTTTCTGCATTACATGATAGTTTATGACTATTTTTTTAAAAATTAACAAAGAGAGCCAGGTAAAATCACAACCGAAGAAATAAATTCTGTTATCCTGATAAAATGAAGAGTCTTAATTGATTCGCATATGTTCAACGCAAAGCAGGTCATGTTCAGTTGATCGCAGAGTGGAATATATAACACTATTGGTGAAGAAAACTAGAGAATAATGTTTCAAATAAATAAAGAAATTAAAGAGAATTCAGGAATATTCGTGGTTATAGTCACTACACTAGTGTACAATTATAAATCAATAGGGAAAACAGAAAAGGTGTAGCACATTGCTTTCCAAATGAAAATGAGTGGCCTCGAGCTCCGAAAACAAATAAAAGAACCCTATAAAATTGACTTATTAACCGTATAAACCAAAATAACAAAGGACAGAGATTGTTTGCATAGACAATTTGTAGGCAAAACAAATTTAATTAAACAAAACATTTATATCCAATAGTTATCCACATGATCGGATCACTGGTTTACCTACTCTTGAATTTAGTCTCCTTCGGGATCCACACCACGTCTCTTGTCCACAATAGTCAAACACTTCATTCATATGTTTTACTATCAATCAAATGCATTTTATAGAATGCGGCAATTCTTGTTTTTTTAATATCTAATTACATGAAGTTCCAATTTCCTTATTGTAACCAAAACACCTTTTTAATGAAAACAAAATGATAATTAAATGTTGAATACGGTTAAACAAAATGAAATGTTGCAACATACATATATGTATATAATTCGACAATCAAGTAATTTTTACCAATTAAATAAGCTGCAATAAACTGCTTTTAAATTTAGTATCGAACTAAGAATAACCCTGTATCTGAACATGTATAAATGTAGCGTTGTCCTCTATATATATTTGAAGATGTATATTATACTCACACAATCATTTCAAATTCAATGTATCGTCCTACCAAAATAAAATAACATATGGCATAAGTGTAAATAAAGGGAAAGAGAACCCCAAGAGTAAGGTCACAA